AAGTCTAAGGTGTTGTAGGATGCAGAGTCTGCAAGAGACCAAAGGATTAGAACAGCAACTCTTCCTTCTAAATCTTAACTGTGGAATGACAGGAGAATAGCTGGGTCTGCTGCAGACAGGATAGGAAGGAAGGGGACACGGAATAAGTGCAGATTAAGCAAACTGGAAGCAATGCTCATGTAATCTCTATCGAAGTATTTGAGTGCTCTGTCTGGAGCACAGAGTATATTTGGGTTCAATGGCATGCTGAGAGAACAGCTAGAATATGCTTCTCACTGTTCTTCAATGCCTACTGATACTGCATAAACTGTATCAAACTAATTGTTGCTTTCATATGAGTTACAGGCTCCTGCTTTACTAATAACAGATTTCTTTGCAAATTCCTGTCTCAGGCCTAGCTACCACTTCTGTGAATAACAAATAAGCAAGAAGTCTTAAAAGCTTTGTTTAGACTGTTCTTTTTATAGGATAGTTAAGCTGGGTTTTCTGTTGCTTAAGTTATTCTTTTTTCCCTTCTTTAGAGTAGAAGGCCATCTACTTCAAGAAATCTATGAAGTATAAATATGAACTTCATCCATCCAGAGATACTATCTGTTTTGCCTGTGGGCAGACTCTCAAATCAGAATGAGATAGCGGCATCATCCATGAGCAGCTGACTTGTACTAATTAGGTAGTGAGCTCTTAGGGTTTGGCTTTGCAGCCCTTAAGCTAACTGATAGGAGGTGATCTCTTATATGGATCACTTGAGGGGGATCTTTTTTAAAATAAGTTGTTTTAACTATAAATCTAGATTTATTTTTTCCTACTGTAAAATGGGGTTTCAATGAAGCTGATCAGGCATTCATAGCAGCTTTAAAGACCTAACCTTGCAGCATGTATTATCAGATACCAGCCTGAACAGTTAGTGTTTAGTACTAGATTCAGGTCATTTTGAAGAACCTATGTGGAAAAAACAACTATGTATGCTGTAATCACCTGTTACATTTTGATTGTTTTTACTCTTCAGTGCAGTGCCATTATCTGACTTAACACTTCTAGGCAAAGGTTGTCCAAAAGTAAGTCCTGGAAACTGTTGCAGTGGTGTAAATATGTCAAAACTTAATTACTTGTTTTATCAAAATTCATGTATATGAATTAATTACTTTAAAGGTTCTTCTGATCTGTTTTTATTCATATTCCAAACTTTGAACCAACAGTTTGTTTCAGGACTGAGCCTTCTCTTGGCTTTAGTGTGCAGCTTTGGTTTTCCTGTGCTATCTTCGATACATTGCTTGCTTGTTGAGTTTCAGATGCCCAAAATAATAGCCCTTGCATAACTTAACACTTGCACTAACACAGGGGATTAAAACTTTGTTCAGGGCAGCCTTGAACTTCTACATCAGCCTGAAAGAAAATGCAGCCCTGAAGCTGAGCTAATACAGCTACTGTTCAGACCTGTGACACATCACATGAGATGACTCATCTTTCTGTCCTTCATTCTATATATTGATGTCTTGAAGGACCAATGTGACTTTTTCCCTCACTGATGATGGGAGGCTTACTTGCATAACCATCTCACTATCAGCATCTTTTGTATTCAAGTAAGGAACTTAGCCTGCCTTTATCACTGGATCAGGCTTGATGTTCAAGTATGCAATTCACATCTGCAAAAACAGCAAAACAATGCATCGCTTTAAGAGCTGCAGTTTACTTTGTAGAAACTTTAGATTTAGAACTCTTGAATTTTATTTCTTAACTGTTTCTGTTGAGAAAATACTTGATATCAGTTAGTTGATGGTAGCTGTTTGAAGAACAGGTGGAAGCCTCTGCTTAATGGTGAAATCTAATTGCTTCTGAGCTTAGGTTTGTAAAATTGTGTAGGCCTATTGTCATAGCAATCTCATGTGTGTTTCTGCATACTGAATGTCTTTGGCTCTGGCTGGAAATGTTTTGGATTCCACAGAGGGACCTTGTTTAGATTGCAGCCTGCATTCTAGTTATTAAATTGGATGGTGTTTATACTTTACCTAAATTCTGGAGTTATGCTACCAGCAGCCAGACCTGAGTGAGCTCTTCAGGATCTGTATGGGCCCAATACTATTCAGTCTTCATAAATGATCTGGATGATGGCGTGGAATATATATAGTCATCAAGTTTGAGAATGATATGAAATGGGGAGTAGTAGATACAACAGAACGAAGAGCCACTATAGAGACATTGACAGGTGGGAAGACTGGGCCAACAAGAATGGCATCAGGTTTAGCAGATGTTAAAGCCTTTTCTTGGAACGGATTAATTCTAAGCAACAGTTCATGCTGGGGTCTTAACCGGCTGGGGGATGGCTCTGCTGAAAAGTTCCTGGAAGTCCAAGTGGACAGGAAGCTGAGCATGAGCCAGCAATGTGCCCTGCAGCAGGAAGGCAAACAGTGTCCTGAACTTGCATCAGCAAGAGCATTATCAGTAAATCAAGGGATTATCATAATCAAGTGATTATTCCACTGTATTTGGCACTTCTAAATACTTTAAAGTGATTTAACAGGTACTACTGTTTCCTTGGGTTTGAAGCCTGTTGAGAGACATGTATGCTGTCTGCTTGTTGAACTTAACTGACACTGTTCCCTGGTTAAGAAACTGGAAAACTGTAGAGGCTCCAGTGGAGGCTTGTGAAAGTGATTAGAGTTGGAGAATGCAACCCATAAAGAAAGATTGAAGGAATTCTTTCTTCAGCCTACAGAAGAGGACTGGGCAAGACTGCTTTTTAGCTCCTGTAGATAGCAAAGCAGCTTAATGCTCTCAAAGGAGATGCTGTAAGGGGAGAACTGAGCCACGTTTATGGACAGAGTTGTAAAGTCCAGCCTAAGTTAAATTCTTTTCCTTACCTAAAATACTTAATCTTGTAGGTAGGCCTTTCTGTGGTTGTATAGCTGTGTTCAAACCAGAACGTGTAGAGTGTCTTGGAAACCATGAAATTTTGTTGCCATCACTAGCCTGTGATAAGAGATGTCTTTCCCTTTGTATAGCTTTTACAGCAAAAAGCTCTAACATGGGGACTGAAATCGCCAGTTACCTTTTGTAGCTAAAAAAAGGAGTTTAACTTTATTTGGAACAGTCTGTAAACAGTGCTGCAAATACTTTTTTTAAGCTGTATTTTTGGGTGACAAATAAGGCTGTCAGCTGTGAAGTCCTGAAATGCTGAGCAGATAGTTAATAGCCTACCTTATTCTCTAGGAGTCTATGGTAAAACCTATTCTAATACTTTATAGCTATGTGAAAAAAGTCATATAGTGCAAGTTGTCAAAGATCTAGTTGAATGTGTTCTTTGCTAATATGTACTTCAAGAAATATTTGAAGGAAAATACTTTTCTCCTACCCTTACTTAAATACTTTAAAGTGATTTAACAGGTACTACTGTTTCCTTGGGTTTGAAGCCTGTTGAGAGACACGTATGCTGTCTGCTTGTTGAACTTAACTGACACTGTTCCAACAATTTACTGGTAATTGTCACTCTGAACATAAACCTAATTCCACAGTAAGTGAACAAGGCTGTCAGACTGCTAAACTTATGTTTCATGCTTTCGTAGCCTAATACTTGGAGGAATATTTCTTGAAATCATGGAATATTGTTGCTTGCAGAATAAAACTGAAATTTGTGGGCTCAGTGTCCGATATTTATATTGAAATGGTTATTAATTTAAATAGTTAATGTGGTTTTGAGCTACAATAATAGTATATAAGACCCCTTTGTTAAAGGGGCTTAGAAATGGGTATTGGTGGCAGGGTATACGGCATGTTGAAAAATACACCAAAAAACCCCCACAGTGTCTTTGAGTGCAATGCCTGAGACATTAGTATGTCTAAGTAGGTTCTTAACCAGGTTAAATCAAGTCTTGTGTACAGAAAGCTTGTGGTCTGACAGTATGTATGGTGACATTTATAACACATAGCATTTGTGTTAAATCTATTCTCAGTGTGAAATGTAAAGCTGTGCTCAAAGGAGGGAGTGGTATTCCTATGAAAATCTAGAAAACCGCTCATTTCTGAAGTTAGCGAATGTTCAGGTATCAAGCACTCTATTAAAACTGCATGTGTTAATTGTGATTAACAGAAAGAAAAGAAGCTGCTGAGCTCTGCACCAAGAACAACCTATCACCAACAGCCTCCACCCACAGGAAAACAAATAAAAAGCCTATGGCTAATGTCTCTAAACTGCTTGGAGAAACTTCTGACCTTGGCCTAGATCTATAAGATTCATAGGGCAGCAGGGAGGAAGTAGTGGCATTTTGTTTATCTTGCCTCAGATATCTTTCTTCTTACGTTAGTGGAAAGCTTACAGACTTTGCATTGGAAAAATCTGGGCATAGTGTTGATGTAGAAACTGGCAAACACTTTGAATGGTATAGGGTTTATAACTGGGAGTAAATGCCAACAAAATTCATGAATGTGAATGGGTATCTAAGCAGTCTTGGAATGTAACTGAGTTTAGGTGTTCACCTGTCTTCTGCTGTGTCTTTTTACTGCAGAAGTTTTTAACAAATCAGGTACTTTCTACATAATTTCATTTCAAGTGAGTTGAAGACTACACAATTTCTTTGTAGCCAGTGTACTTTTCTAAAACTCAAGTTCAATATCTAGAAAATCCTGTATTACACAATGTTTTGATTATGATCTAATTTGGGAAAGTTTAAGTTTTGGGAAAGCTAAACGATTTATCAAGCTAGCCCTCAGGTTTTTGTCAAATCTCCAGTGGGCTATACTTATATGAAACCTTAACATATGCTATTGTCTCAGCGATCGTGAGGTGCTTAAGTACCGTTGGAACAATGTGGGACACTGGAATCTGCATAGCATGTTTGTTATGATTTGCTCAAAAAAGGAAAAGAATTGATTGCCTTAGTAAGAGTCTGTAGAAGGAGGGTGGGCGAAAAAACAGCAGTGTTAATGCTGCTGTATGTTGTAGCTATAAGTTATCAGATGAAAATATGGCAGAAAATTTGAGTATGTACGTTTCCTTTTTTTCCTAGGCTTATGGTATGTCAGCTCTGCCTCTAAACTTGATTAAGGGAACTACCAGTGCGGCTTATGAACGTTTAGAGAACACTGAAGATATTGAAGAAGTGGAGCAACATTTATTAAGGATTAAATCAAAGGTGTGGTCTTCACTGTTCTCACTTTCTTAATGAATTTTTTTCTTGCTTGCTTACTAGTTTATGGTCGGGCTGTAGAGAGTTTTTGTTCCAGAAAGAATAGCAAGTCAGAAGTGACTAGCTTGCATTTATTTAAGTTATTTGGAAACAAATGTGGTTGCTTGTATAGTAGTGATCAGTTTTTCTTTATCAGTCCTGTAGCACTGGTTATTTCTTTGTAGCTAATAATGGTGCTGACGAGCTAAACTCAAACTTCCATATATCCAAGCAGGACTAGAGAAGAGATACTTTGTAGAAGCTAAGAATATTAACTTCACTTAGTCTGCTACCAGATGTGGCATCCAATTTGTTGATACTTACTCAGTGTAGTTATCAACACCAGATACTTGCCACATGGAGCTGTCATGAGTTAAATTCATCAAACTATTAATCATCTTTATGAATAAATAACAGCTCTGGATATTCTTGCTTCCCAGTTAATGTACCTTGCTGTTATAAATCATTTCTTTATGAAAAGCATACATATGGAAGTCTCTGTTCTGAATCCTAAACATCCCTAGGATGTGAACACCATTTGTAAACCCATGATGGCTTTGCAACTCAGTGAAATGCTGTGCTTACTGTAAGTGGGACACTTTTAACAAACTAAGAGCACAAGCCAAAGAAGGATATGATTTCTCCTTTACATACAAGATGCTAGGGATGATCTCCCACCCTTTTCCCAACCCATTTCAGATAATGGTTTGACCAGTGTTTTCACAGCCTTGAGTGGGGGGAAGGGGCATTAAGATACATCACTTCCATCCTGGCAGTCCATCTGTGCTGTTGTGTGCTCTGTGACAGTAGACCTCAGCAATGTTGAAACAGTTCTAACAGTCTTCCCTTGATACTTGGCTACCTCTACACAGTGGGGGCACCTTCAGCGTTTTGAAATCTTGTTGCATAATGAAACCTAAAAAGTAGTCTTCCCTCAGTTTAAATTGTAAAGTTTTGGTTTTGTACAGAGTACTACTACAACAAAGGCATCTGTATTACTGAAATCAATATGAGAAACCCCTTAAGAATGGAGCATTACTTATTACCGAAGACTGTTGGATTACGAGAGTTTGCAAACAACTAGTCTTGTTCTTCGATCTAGCTAACAACAAATAGGATCAAAAAGTAGAAAGTCTTTAAGTTATGTCTACATTTTAATGTGACTATTAGCGTAAACGAATTCTCCTTGCTTTATGGATTATGGTCAGGATTCTGCCTCAGTCTGTAATAGAAATCGTAGTTCTTCAGTTACATTTGCATGAAGTCGTGAAGAAAGTGAGTGTTAGTGAGAGTAATGTACAGTGAAAACTAGAAGTATGAAAGTGTGCTACTTAATCTAATGAAAAGAGTCAGTATGTAGCATGGTCTTCTGCTATTAGTCCACCTGGTAGCTTTATTTCATTACTCTTAAATAATTGAAGCTTGGACTTGCAGCTTGGGAGCTTGGACTGTTTTCAAAAAGTCTTTTTCAAGTCACTGAGGTGCTATACAGGGTATGGAGCATATGTGTTCCTGTTAAATCGGACATCACAATGTACTTTTAAGTGTTATGTGTGCCTAGAATGCGGTCTTAGTCTTGTAACCTTTTTGAGAAATTTATCTAAAATAGATTCACTTTAACTTCACTGGGTGTGAAGTGTTTCACCATTTGCAAGAACACTCTTGTAAAATAAGAGGAAAAAAATTGAATAGGGAATTTCAAAATTTAAAAAAGATTCTTACAGTTTTAGTACATCTCCTACTATATTTTTTTATCTAAGGATCAGTTTGTTATACAATAGCATCAATGTTAGAAACAATTTTGGTTCAGCTGCCTAATGCCTGTTTGGTTGCTTTTGCTTATTAGTGTATAACTGAGATTTAAGGATGTCCTACTCAATTTACAACAGAGCGCAATGGCGCCTGCTCAGTATTTAGAGGCTCAGAATTAAAGTACATTCTTAATTGTCTGTTTGACTATGTTTATCTAATACACTCAACTAATTCTTGGGGTAATGGTGCCTCTTGTTTGCATTTCTGTAAGGTTAATTTTTGGAACAGCAAGTCATCTTGCTCTTGTAAGTACAGGAAACATAGCTGAGTTTTTGTAGTGGAATGCTGGAAAGAAAACAGATGCTAAGCTTAATACATTGGCTTAGTTATGGAATTTGATTGGAAGGGGCCTCTGAAAGTTATGAGGTGCAACCCTCTATGCAAAGCAAGGACCCCTTTCAGGTTAGATCAGGTTATTCAGATCACATCTTGCATTTTAAGCATTTCTAGATGTGGAGACTGCCCACCCTGTTAAAATTTTTGAACATCCTCATTGTGAAGAGTGTTTTCTACCATCTAATAGGAATTCCCTTGTTGCAGCTTGTGACTTTTGCACTTCATCCTCTTGCTATGCATAGAAACACTGTGAATTATATACTACAAAGTCTTTAGAGTTGTTGTAACTCATTAAACTAGATGTCAAGTCTATTTTCTTGATTCAGTGTCCCTTGATCTCTTGCACTGTTTTTTGGGTAACCAGTGCAGAGATGGTCGGCCTCTGTCATCAAGGGATAGGCGGACTGTACAACAACTAGAAGAGAGGCTAAGGACACTTCGAAGAAGAGAGAGGCATCTGGAGTCTATTGAGAAAAGCTGGTGGACAAAGTTCTGTGAAGCTATCCGACCTCTAAAGGTAAAACTTTCTTCACTTTTTGAGACTTAAATTAGAATAACTTGGAGCTTTCTTCTTCCCATATAAATCATAGGTCAAGTTTATTGATTACCATCCTGAATATCAACTGCTTATTTTTTTAATTACTATTATACTACACAATGACAGCCCTATAGCAAGCTCTGTTTGAGCTCTTGGAAAACTTTACTTTGCCTAAAACTTGATTAAGATTGAAAAGGAGCAATTCCTAGTTGATCTACTATAGTGCCACTGCTGTAGAAAATCTGAATATCTTATCTTTTCTCAGGCATGTGAAAATGGGAAGAAGAGAAGGAAGAATTCTATAGCTGTCAGGTAGCTTAGGTTAATCTAAATTACATGTAGCCAGCAAAAGTGAGAGATACTTTGAGAATATATGCATTTGGAATGAGCATCTTGGCAAGTAATTACCTGATCAATAGTAAGCTAGCTGCATGGAACTTCTGTCTTGATACTTAACCAGTGCAAAGGAGACTGTTACTGGGGCAAAGCTTTGATCTTTGTCTCTTTTTGATCTTAGGACTTTGATTTTAGTAGATACCTGTTTTTAAAAACCAGTACTTTTGTGGAGCAGTATTGCCATATAAAGTATTTTTTGCCAACTAGGTGTAGGAAGAAATTCTAGCATTACTTTAAACTGTAGGCTGCACTTTGAAAAGCTGAGGGGGTAGCTATAAGCAATTTCCTCTAACATTATTGCTACTGTTAATGCTGATTACTAATGGAAATGGGCTGAAATTGCAGTTGAACCAAAGCTTTCAGTGTGAAATTCTTAGTGGACTTGCCTTCCTATGATACATTAGAAATCTAGACTTAGCCCTTTCATTTAAAGGACAAATATCTCTATTCACTGTAACAGTTTGGATGTTTCCTTTGAATCAAAATAGCTTGTGTAGTTTCTTTAATTTTTCATTCACCTGAAATTTGAGAAATGCATTGGCCATATCTGTTGTCTGTAGGGCTTTAACAATTCATTGTGTTCTCACAGGATAGTGTACAATATCATTAGTTCCTTACAGATTATCACTTACGGTCAGGATGGTATTCCAGTGTCTCTTTGTTATTGTGGTTTGAATGCTTTTTATTCTAACTGACAGTCACTGTAAATTGTTGACTTAAGAATCGCAGTCTAAAGGGGAGTTGCAGGTGGATAATTTTTCTTGACGGATTTTTCACTTAGAATAGGGTTGTGCTATGAAGCATGTTACAAAACGTGTTTACTTTGACTTTTCCTTGAGCTGTCCTGTGAAGGTGATAATGTCCATCACTTAATAACATTTTAAATCTTGCAGGACTGTTTTACTGTTACTTTAATAGCATTTGAGTTGTCTTTGCACATATATAACTTGTCAATTGCTCAATTAGTGGTTTTTATGAAAAGACAGAAATCTTTTAATATCCATATATAATATTTCTGATCAATGTAGAAGTGCAGAAAATACCTTGGAGCTTTGCTTATTGCTTTACAACACATCTTTAATGCAACTTTGTATATTATTGTTCAAGAATGTGTCCGTTTCTCAGAGTTCAAGAGAAATTCCATTTGTTGTGAGGCAAGTACTAGATATGGAGAACGCTTTTTCTGCTTTGTGTTTGGGATGGTCAGGTTTGAGAGTTGCAGACTCTTGCTGGTACTGACAGAACAGAATAACGTGTTCAGGAACAGCACTTAGTCTTGGAGGTCTTTTACAGTGTTAACTTAGTGTCAACGTTCAGAATTATATAATCATATTGTCTTTGCGTAATGTCCTCCTATATTCTTGCTTTAGCAGTAACAAAATAATTATCTATTAGCATGTGATTTGTTAAACAAAGCCAAAACTCTTTTTCTCTGAAGAGTAAGCTTTTTTGACATGGGCTAAAGTAAACTTTGAGAACAATTGTCTTCCTGAAAGCTAAATCAAACTCAAAGATGAAGCTGTTAATTTTTCAATTTAGTCAAAAGCAACACATGGAGGATCCCAAAGAAATGAGTAATGGTCAGCATGGGGTTGTCAAGTAATGTCAAACTAGTCTAATTTCCTTCTACAAAATGTAACCTTTCCTGTAGATAGCAAATCTACTGCTTCTCCTTTCTTTATTATGGTTTCTTACACTTTCATCTGATACTCTCAACAGCAAGAGGAATCTAAGGATGGGTATAAAAACTGTTGAGGGAAAAAACTCAAGAGCACAGTTATGTTTGCTCAATATAAACAAGGCTACAGGTTGTGAAACATGGAAGTCTACTCAACAATGGTAAGTTGGGAGTATTGCATCAGTTTTTGATGGGGTACTTCAAAACAGTTGTGAAACAACTGAAGAGATGCCTAAGGTGAGTAAAATAAGAAAATGAAGCACTCCGTTTTGAAGATTGAGACCTGTGTGAACGGAGCATGCTCGTGTGGCTTAGCTTAAGCAGGAACTTAAAGGTATTGACATCAGTCCAAGTATATGGAGGCTACTACAAAGAGAACAGTGTTCTTTTGATAAACAGAGTGGTACACTTGAAGTGTAGCAAGGGAGAGGGAAACTGTTCTATCTAATCTTAAGGATAATGAGGACTTTGTATAGATGTGTCAGTCTCTCTCCACTTGTTGCTGAAGGCCTTCAGAGAAACATAGGTACAGTTAATGCTGTCTTGAGGATGGAGGACTAGGGTATTCCTCTCTTTTTTTTTTTTAATGGGCTTTTGATTCCTCTCTCCCTTTCTCTGGAGAGAGCTGAAAGATGGGAAACTGTAGGCAATTGTTTAGATATCAGCCATGCTGGCAGAGTGTTAGTGCAGACTGTAGGTGCTGTTAGGAGTCAGTTTAGTTGCCTCAAGAGGTGGTGTAGCTAAACTGACAGGCTTTTTTTCCTGCTTTCATAGCTGCATCTTCTACATCAGGGAGGTTAACAGCATGGAAAGCAAGAGGTGTCAATATTTCATGTCCTAAGTTTACGTAGTGATAACTTAATACTAAGTGTTTTGCTTCATCTAACAATCATTTTTAATCCATGTTTGCCAGGTTACCAGAAAGTAGGTCATGTCATGCAATAGTGTGGTGGGTTCACTTGACTGGCTGCCAAATGCCCACCTAGCTGCTCTCTCACTCCCCATCAACAGGAGGGGGGAGGAAATAAGATAGACAGGGCAGTCACTTACCAGTTACCCTCATGGGCAAAACAGAGTTGAAGAAAATTGCCAATTAAAACTGTTTTCAATGGTAAAAAACAAAAAGACCATTTAAAACACCTTCCTGCAATCCCCCTCCACCCTCTTTCCCAGGCTCAACTTCACTCCTTTAGTCCTGACTCGGGAGTGTCACAGTGGGGATGGGGAACAGGGAGTTGCCATCGGTCCATAGCACCTCTTTGCTGCTTCCTCCTCACACTTTGTCCCGGTTCCAGCATGGGTCTACTCCATGGGCTGTAGTTCCTGTCAGAAGAACCTGCTTCAGCATGTGGGATCTCTATAGGCTGCGGCTTCCTTCAGAAAATATCCATTTGTTCTGGTGTGGGGTCCTCCATGGGCTGAGTGTGGTTATCTGCTCCAGCATGGTCCTCTTAACGGGCTAGGGGGGGATGTCTGCTCCATTACCTGGAGCAGCACCTCCTCTTTCTGCGCTTGGTGTTTACAGGGCTGTTTCTCACTTTTTTTCCTCTCTCTCCTCTCTGCTATATAGTATTTTCCCCTTTCTTAGATATGTTTTCCCAGAGGGGCCACTGGCTTGGCTGCTGGGCTCAGCTTTGGCCAGCAGTGGGTCAGTTGGAGTCAACTGGAAAACAGCTGTGTCCAGCACAGGGCAAGCCTCTGGCCTCTCCTCAGAGAGGACACCTCTGCAGCCCCCCTGCTACCAAAAACTTGCCATGTAAACCCAATACATAGAGTGTTTCCCATCAGGAATCCAGCTTTGCTTCTTGGTCAGTATAACTATTCAGTAATGTGCCACCAGTTTTCTTTACTCTGTTAATGGATACCAGCCCTGAGAGGACAACTGCTCCTATACATTTTTGTGTTGCTTTGGTGTTGATTCAAAGTCATGGAATAGCTGTCCTAAGCAGACTCACAGTTTATTCTTTTTGTTGGTACATGAGTACCACTGTAGGAAACAATTGGGCAGGTGAGTATTCTTTTAGCTTTTTGGAGGGGCAAATATTAATGATTTTCGGAAGTTAATTCTGAGGCTTTTTAAAGAAGTACCATGTAAGTTTGTGGATCATGTGGTCATTCGTGCTCAGAATAAATTAAGTCCTAAATCCCATGATTATCTTTATAACATTTTGGAAGTATCCGTAGATGAAACAACTTGGCTTGACTGACATCTGGGAGCAGGGATAGGCGGCAAAGAGCTCTCTGAATAACTCAAACAAGGATGATGCAGGGGTCAGGGGAATGATCAGGAAGTTGAAGGGAGGTACCAGGGAAAACAGTGTAAGCAGAACATGAATAATGTCAGAAAAGACTTATCAGCTTGTGACTTATGTGCAGTAACAGTGGAAAAATACACTAATAATTTGAATATTTCCAAATTATTTGGCCGATTTATTAAACTGAAATGCAACTTAGCTTTCCACTATGACCTAGAAGTAGCATGCTTCCATTTTTACTATTGAGAAATGCCTATATTGACATTTTTGTCTTGTTTTTTGCTTAGCCATGTCTTTTAATCCCATATGTTCAAGTGTAAAACAAAGCTTTAAGTAAACTAGTTCTTACTGTTCTGCTTTAGCTGCTTCCTTAACTTGCTCATGTAGAGGCTTTCTGTTATGCTGAAGGAACTCATTTCAGGCAGCAGTGTAAGTTGTATTAGTAGGTATTAGTTCAACTCATTGTTTTTGTAGTATCTGCAGTCTTGCATAAAAACATGGTTCACTGGTTTTTGGCAGTTAATTGTATGCATACTATCTTGTACAACAGATTGTAGATGAGGAGACCCAATCTGACACTTAGAGGTGATCAAAGTGTTGTAAGTGCAAGGCAGCAGCTCTGAAAGCTGTTCTGTAGCAAATGATTGAGTACAGGTGGGTATGGGGTCTGTGTTTTGTAGCTGAGGGATACGAGGAAGTGGCCTGGCAATGGAGCAGTTCAAACTGATTGTAGTGGTGGAGGTAACATAGTTTGAGGTATAGTTGCATTGAGGTCCTGCTTTCAAAAGGACTAGGGAGCAAGAAATAAGATTGTCTTGCATTGAAAGTTAGGCTTCTCTTAATATAGATCAAGGGTTGCTTGCTTTTTTCCTTGTAATGACCTTACTAAATTCCTCTGTATGTTGTTTGGCTGAAACCCAGGCTTTTTGTTTTTGCCTGTTCTAGTACTAAAAGCCTTTCAGCATCAGTTGATAAATAGTCTGGCTATGAGAACAAGAGGTTTTGATTAAACACTGTCCTTTGCTCTGAAGTTAAACATGTACTCATGTTCTCAGGGGCTTGGATTCCTTCTCATTTATGCTGTGACACAAAGCAAAATTATTTTGTAAATTCTCATGGCTAAGTGTATCTTGAATCTTTGAAGATATTCTAGTTGGTTTAAAGCTAGTAAACAGCAGTACAGTAGTGTTGCAGTAAGATTATGGATGATAGATTTGTCCTTTGCTGTAGGTGACAAGTAAAAGGCAACAGTGAGTGTATAGCTCCTGCTGCAGTGGTTTTTCTAGCCTATCTTAGGCTTTACGTGGAGGGAAAGGAAAGGAAGTACTTACTATTTCCCTTACCCAGATACCCAACTGGAGGCATGCTTTTAATTTAAGTCAGGTTGATACCACTTAAGGGCTCAGCTGGACTGTGTAAATTGCAAGCTCAACTACTAGTCTGAGTGTTGGTGTTATCTTAATCGTTGGCCAAGTGCTGGTTAATAGACTAGAAATGAGAATCATAGAACATAGAATCATTAAGGTTGGAAGAGACCTCCAAGATCGAGTCCAACCGTCAACCCAACACCACCATGCCCACTAAACCATGTCCCTAAGAGCCTCATCTACACGTCTTTTAAATACCTCCAGGGACAGTGACTCAACTACTTCCCTGGGCAGCCTCTTCCAATGTTTAACCACTCTTTCAGTAAAGACATTTTTCCTTACACCCCATCCAGTCTAAACCTCCCCTGGTGCAACTTGAGGCCATTTCCTCTTGTCCTATCCCTTGTTACGTGGGAGAAGAGACCGACACCCACCTCCCTACAACCTCCTTTCAGGTAGTTGTAGAGAGCAATGAGGTCTCCCCTCAGCCTCCTCTTCTCCAGGCTAAACAACCCCAGTTCTCTCAGCCGCTCCTCAGAAGACTTGTTCTCCAGACCCTTCACCAGCCTCGTTGCCCTTCTCTGGACAAGCTCCAGCACCTCAACGTCCTTCTTGTAGTGAGGGGCCCAAAACTGAACACAGTATTCGAGGTGCGGCCTCACCAGTGCCGAGTACAGGGGCACGATCACTTCCCTACTCCTGCTGGCCACACTAGTTCTGATACAGGCCAGGATGCCATTGGCCTTCTTGGCCGCCTGGGCACACTGCCGGCTCATGTTCAGCTGGCTGTCAACCAACACCCCCAGGTCCTTTTCTGCCAGGCAGCTTTCCAGCCACTGAGGTGTCAGGAATGATGACCAATGAGGTGTCAATTGGTCTGCAATCAGTTGAGGTATGAGGTAAATCTAGGTAAGAACATGGGCCTTTCACAGAATGGATCCTTAAGTCAACTGATGCTCTGAAATTGTGTAAACATAGGTTGATGTTAATTGCAAATCATTTATCGTTCAGTAGTCTTAATAGCACTGTAGAAATACAGGATGAACTAAGGTAGAATAAAGGTCTTTAATATTAGCCTTTTCAATCCTGTATTTAGTGGGACTGGAGTTGAGGTTAAAATGGGAAAAGGAGTGCTTTTTCAACCACTTATCTACTTCTAAGAGTGTTATGCATCACTTCAGAAGACAGCTATATTCCAGAGGAGATATGGATACCTCTCTACTCGCCATAGTTGTCAGAAGGTAATGAAGTGATGCAGGCTTCAGACTCTTGGTCTTAATTGTTTTTAAACATCTGTTTCCTGTACAGCTAATACCTAGTGGGAGTTTGCTGTGGAGAGCTAAAATCTTAGTACACTTAAATATGTGGAAGTGCGCAAGTTAATACTTACCTTGATATTGGTCTCTAAATCTATACCTAATAAGGCCTACATAATTTGAGTTGTTTTATAAGCAATGTTCTAATATCTGAAAGCATTGTTTTGGGAAGTTCAGCATGCTTGTCTGAGCTGAGGACAGCTTGGAAAATGAGGTGCCTGGCTCAAGTGCTACATTTGGTAGGCATAATAACAACTTTCCTGTGTTTTAATTAAGATCTTAAAGAACAACCTTATTTCTCTGAACCTATTTGATTCAGACCATTCATAGAAGAACTGAAAGAAATGAAGGCACCTTTGAAAGAAGGTGTGGCTTCTTCCTCTAAAGATAAAAATGAGAAGGAAATGGGGAAAACAGAATGTACAGGTATCAGAATATTACCTTCAGTTGTCTAAACTTACTGCTAAATTGCCTGAATTCTTCCTGTTTAAAATAAACTCAAACTTTTCATACTTTGACTATATTCAGGGACTAAATCGTCTAGTTTTTTAAGCTGTTAGCTTATTTTAATCTAGCCCTTAAAACCTGAAAAATCTGAACGCACAAACCCAGCTTAACTGCTGATATGGTTGGTCTACAAAATCTTCATTTACTCCTGGTAAACTTAGTTTAGTGTTTCATATGCCACCTTGGCTTACCCAAGAAATTTGTTCTTATTTTTTGTATGTCAGGCAGTTCCCAATTAATGTGCAAAAGCTTACAAAAAAGCCTGCTATCGTTAATTTTAAAAACAATAGCAGTATCTGATTTTATTATATATACATTTTTATATATATAGTATAATTAATTATAGTGGTCCTTAAAAATTTTTTACCTGTATTTATCTATGCTTATGACTTGCTGGATGAATAACCACAGCTGTTATACTTTTTTGGTTTCAAATTCTTGACTAGGGTATGCACTCCAAAGGAAGATTGTGGGGCAAATGACTCATCTAGTGCAGCTAAAGGAGTATGGAAGCTCTTCTAGAACCTTCTCCAGAAAAGGGGCCTTTATCTGTCAGTTATGATGTAGTAATCTCATCTTATTTTAATCACTTGTGGATAGATAGTGTTTTAGAATAATAGTATTTAAGTAGCACTTACTTGAGTTTCAAGAAAATCTAGGTATTTTTCCTACTACCTTAGTATTTATAAGCATCTTTTTTCTCTCTAGTCCATTCTCACATCTTTACATCACTTCAAAGTTAAATTTCTAGGTGACTTAAACCTTTGAGTCAAAATACTTTGTAAAGTTGATGATTTCTATAACTTGAACCTTGAAAATTGCTTTGAAATAATCAATACTGATGAGTAACTAAGAGGACTTGCAGGCAGAAGCAAGAAAAAAAGTAAACCTGGTATTTGGGCTTGGTTACCTGAGTTTTACATCACTCCCTCCAAGTGATTTGGTCATTGAGTGTTTCTGAATAGTGCTACAGAAGGGAGCTCTCACTTGGGAAAAGTGAGATGTTCCTTGTAAGCTGTGCACAGGTTGCCTCCTGTTGGAAGGTGAGCACACAGGCATGGTGGCCAAGGGAAACAAACTCTAATTTCCATTAATTAAAACCAAATGCATGTATATAGTTAAGGTTTTTCCATACAATACAGCGAGTACAGGTTGTGCGTTCTGCTAAATGCGGTGTTCATTTAATATAACATCTCATCTGTGTCCTTAATGACACTTTGACTTAGAGGTAGACTTCTGTATTGCACTACAGCATGTGATATACTTAATGCTTGATTCTGAGCTTAGTGTATCTGCCAGGTGAAGAGGTCATTCTCATCTTAGATGATCAACTTTTTAAATGCTTGACATAAACTCTGTTCAACAGAGTAAATGTTTTGTTAGCACTTCTCTCAAGTATTTACCAAAAAGTTACTGTTTCAAGTGTGTTTGAGCTCTGAGGTGGTCCAAGATCAGTAGTGCTTTATTGAAACTTAGACAAGTCTTCACTTGTAACAACTGCAAGCACTTTCAGTTAAATTGTAATAAATCTTGACTTCTAGATTGTGTGGGGAGTGTTCTTCATCATCGTGGCACTGCTCTTCACTGTCTCTCTGTTCTTGTCAAAGTAAGTACATTCCAGCATTTTTCTTAACCACTTAAACTACATAGGTGCTGCTCTAACATCAAAATCGGGGTGGCTTGCTTCAAGAGTCAGCCCACTTTTCTATGCTTTATTTCTGTAACTAGAGCTGCATTTCTCATTATAATAGTATATATTGAAACTGAGCAAAATGTGCTAAAACAGATTCAAAAGAGGACATGGTTCAGCTTGATTGTATGCTGCTGAAAACAGTTCTGATTCAGCAGAGAAATTAAGCATACATGTTATAGAAGCTTAATTCAGACTATAGAAGTATTCTGATTGCTTGAATGAATCTTAATGTATGTAGGTACTTCTTGGGCTGGGTAACAGGTGCTTAAATTCTTGTAGTAAATGACATGTATAATCCATTATGATGTACATTACATTGTAATTGTTTCATGGCATTGAAAGCAATATAGGCAGCTGCAAATCTGGTGGATTTCAATGAAGATTGACACTAACCAGAAGTCTCAAATGTTGGCATTTTTAATTTTTCAGACTGGGCAAATAAGCTCTATGACCCAAACTAGGGAAAAGCTAAAATGCCAAAGAGATGCAGGAATCAATATACCTTTTCATAGGACAAGTGCAATGAGTGTGGTAAAACAAAGTGTGTGTCTATATAGATATGAAAAAGCTGTCAGTCTCTAGGCTTAGTTCAGTTTTTTTTGAGCTGCCCTTTTAAATTAAAAGGAAGGCAAAGCTCTGGGAGAACCATAGTACTTACCCATTTTTTTTAATTACTGCAGTTTGGACAAAGCTCTGCATTCAGCTGGCTTCGACTCGGGATTTATAATTTTAGGAACTAATCTGACCAATCCACTGAATATGCTGTTACCTGTTCTTCAAACAGTAAGTAAAAAATTGGTGATGTACTTATGTAAGGATGCTTCTCTGTTTTCTGGTACGCTGTCAAAAGGCAAGTTACACTTCTCCTGAAGCAATTCATTAAAACAAAATTGTCTAGATGTGTGTTCTGTAAAAGCAAGGCAACTTCCTTGTCAACAATCTTTTAGTTAGTGATATGAAAATCTTGGGTGGATGGAAGCCAGTTGCTGGAGGAAGGTGGTGCTTGAAACTAACTTTTATTTGAGAAGAACATAGTGGCAATGAAGAATGACATCACTTGTAGTTATCATGCACAGAATAAAAGCAACTTTCTGCCATGCCCTACCTACATTCTAGTTGTTTGTGTACTTGATAGTTTATTCCCCTTAAGTGAAGTAAATGCACTTTTTCACTTTTTAATATATTTATTGCACCTTGAAAGATACATTACACTGTGCAGGTATGTGTGTTATAGTAATGTGTTAGTCTTTGAAACAAACCGTACATAAGACAAACATCTGTTAACTTCAGTAGGGTTGGGAGGTAACAAGGTGACATAGAAATTTTGCAATCAGTCACAGCTAAGCTAAGAAAGAGAAAAGCCTTAATGTAAGCTAATGCTTTACTCTCCCCTAGTTGAGTTCTTCCCATATTCTTGGTATAATAGGTTGGCATAATGCATTGCTTCCCCATGGTTTCTAAAACGATTGAACACCTAAGCTTGCAGTTTACTGAGAAAAGTAGTGTACAGCAGCAGTATTATCTCAAGCTGTTATTAGTGCAAATATAAAAATCAAGTTCTGTATGCAAATATGTTCAAAAATATTCACAAATAGAATGCCTATACAGTCCCAAAATGATTGTTGCCACCGTGGACTTTCTTGTAAATGTACTCTCAGAATGGAATTAAGTATTTCTTGACCTAAAAATATGTAACACTTCAAAATTAAGGCAAGTTTTAAATTAAGAAAAATGCTCAGTTGCTTTCCCAAACTAATTGTATAAGCTCTATTAGCAGTAAGCTGCATTAGCTGTATTTGGAGCCAGCTATGTAAAACTTTTAAATGGAAGGACTCTTACTACCTTAGATGCTAAAGTAGAAACTACTTATTTAGCTTTAAGTGGGGGAAGAGCTTGTTTTCTAGTTTGAGTGTTCTCTTGTCATCTTAACTGCTTGTGTTCTTGTTTTAGGTTTTTCCACTTGATTATATTCTTATTACAACTATTGTTATGTACTTTATCTTCACTTCAATGGCAGGGATTCGAAATATGGGTATATGGTTCTTCTGGATAAGGGTAAATATGACTTAAGAGTTCATAATACTCTAAGATATTTAACAAATGTGTGATATTGAATATATTTAATAAATAGTCATTATTTACGTACTGCTTCATAAATACTGGATGTTGCAAATAGCATTGTCTGCATGGTTAATGAGTGTTAGAAGCCTATTGTACAATTTTCACTGCTTTTGAAAGGTGCTCTGTTTTGTGAAGTTATCAGGCCAAAACTGGTGTTTTAGTTTAAGCAATACAGTCAGCTGACTTTCAAGTGTTTAATCAGTGGCACTTCGGCTTCTGACTTTTTAAGTTAAAGCCATATGATTCTGATATACTGGAAGTAGTGAATTTCATGGTCAAAATCTGAAATGTGCATGCAGTCAGTAGTGCTTGACTTGCTTTTTAGGTGGCAAGCAAGTTTATCTAGCTTGATAAGAGATAAAACAGTACAGTAATATATTACTTGCATCATACTTAGATATGCCATATATTACTGTATTTGAAAAAGCAGCTCTGTATCCAACAGTATGCCATTTAACCAAGCATCATAGGCATGAATATTTCCCTGCTTCTGTGCCTGCTTTTCCTTTAATACTGTCACCTTTTCACGTGGTGACACTCCAAAATTGTGGACAGTGACCCTGAGTCCTTGTGATGAGTTGAGATTGGCTGTTGGTTTTGGTCTTCCGTCATTTACCCCTCAGCTGCCAGCTTCTTTACCCTGACATGGTACTCCCCCAGGTTGAGCTTTTGGGGATTAGAGTAGAGTGGTATCTACAGGGTAACAATGAGGGGTTATATTGTTCCCTGCAGTGTAAAATGGACAAGATGCCACCATATGGTGCACAAGTTTTCCCAGAGCCTGGGAATACTCTCTCATAACTCCCTCCTCTGTTTCTAGATCGGATTAGAAGTGTAGTGACACTTCACCTTGACTGAAGGACACAATATTCTTTGAGTAACCAAGGCACAGTTTGTAATCAGTGATAGGCAACATCACTTGAATCTTGCTACTAACTGCTGGTTTATAAATGTTCTGGATCACTAATACAGCCAACAATTAATTTGGTTAAATAGCTGTGCTTTGAAATAAAGGTAAATACACCTGAAAACCTGCTTTGACTCATTGGAATTAAGTTGCCAGAGGATAATTTTAGCAGTCTCCCACTTCTGTCAGTAAAATTAAAGTTGTTACTTGAATTAAAGAGGATTTTAAATGTCTTCAGGAAAAAAAAATTTTTCACTATGTTAATATTTGTATGTTTTCTGGTTTTAGCTTTATAAAATCAGACGAGGAAAAACTCGACCTCAAGCACTCTTGTTCCTCTGTATGATACTTCTGTTGATAGTTCTTCATACAAGTTACATGATCTACAGTCTTGCACCTCAGTATGTAATGTATGGAAGCCAAAAATACCTGGTACAGGTGAGATGTAATACTTTTAAAAAAAAAAAAAAGATCTTGCCTTGTGTATCAAAAATGTCAAATTTACAATGACTTTTAAAGCCAGGCCCATTCTCAGTTTTGAAGACACTTTGGTAGCCAGTTTTTTTAACTACTAGGAGATCTCTTGATAATACACAAACCAGAGACTGGTTGTACTATATATAACACAACTTAATTCCTAGATCATCTTCAGACAGTGTAAAACTTTGAATATTGCTTGACTTCTTTTGATAAGACAGCTGCTAGCTTCCACTAGATTTTGTACTGGTACACTTAGGTTGCTGAGTGACTGCAATGAGGATTAGTTTTAGTGTGTAAGGCTGTATAGACTGAAAGCAATGTTGTTGTTCTGCAGTTGATAGTTTTTATGTGTGTATTTGTGAGAAATGACAAAGATAACTTGGTACAGGAGAGGATGATAATCAGAATGAAGCTGAGTATGTGCTGATTAATCGCATTTCAGACACCTTGGACTGTCCAACTTCATGAAACTCATTGTGGTTCTTGTTCTATAAAATCTTCTACAGAATTAAGTAGTTAACAGTAGTCTCTGCTTTTGTTATTGCACTTCCGTGTACGTCAAAGTTTTTGGGTTTTAAAATCTTCATCTTCTGTACCTGAAGGCTTTAATTCTTGTATTTAATCTTAGTTTGAGTGGAGGCCTGCGTATTTATGGGGAAGTTCAAGGTTACACATCATAAGCGTCTTGAGGGGTTTTATGGACAGCTGTTTACCAAGATCTGGTATCCTACAGGGTAGGCTTTGGTAGATCTGATCTTGCAAATGTAGACAACTAACCAGGTCATGAACTGGTTACTCGTGTTCAGGCACAAAGAACTCCAGATCTCTTGGTGTGCTGTTTGGGGTTTAAGTATAAGTTTCACAAAGACAAAACAATTGAGCCAGCGTGGCTGGGAGAAGGGATTTAAATGAGACTGAAGTAACTGGGTGCTGCTTTGAGCATTTCAAACACTTCTGTTAGTTTTCTGGAGGGCTGTGCCTCTGGGAGGAAAACACACTGCTTTCAAAAAACAATCACCCACCAACCTTTTTCAGCTGAAAATATTTAAGATGTGTAACTTATCACTATCAGTTCTTTCAGTTTAAACAGAGTAGATGCAGAATACTTTGAGCAAAAGGACTACAAGGAGAAACTGAAGTTGAAGTAGTGTTAAACATGCTAGAGAAAAGCAGCCTGATCAACTTAAATATGCTGAGTGGATATGGTAGAATTGTCACTGCAGGATGTACAGCATTCAATAAATGCTACTTTTCTGCTGTCTTTACATCTAAATTTAGACTTACACCTAAAATGTAATCCAATAGGAGGTTGGTCATCCTGATATCAATCCAAGCACAATAATAGAGTCACTGTAGGGGACTTGGATATTTGGTATTTAGGAAGTTTAATGCATATTTATTAGATTTTATGCTAGATATAACTAATACAAGATAAACATGCTTAGGCATATCTAAATTGGCTCAACTTGTCAGAATTAGGGTACTAGCAGCAAGAAACTAAGCTGAAAATCAGTTTAGGAAAGCGGTTTGCTTCTATGGTGAGTTTATGTAGAACTCCTGGCATGATTACTTACTGTGTATGTAGCCTAGAATATCACATAGCTATATCTGAATTAGTTATGAGCTTAAGTCCCTGCAAAAGGCAACTTGTTTTTTGGTGTTTTTTTATCTTGTAGACTGATTTGTATGTCTAACTACAGTGCAGAACCACTGTGGGTGGGAAGGACAATTTCATTAAGGATTCTACCAAGCTAGTCTTTAAGCCTTTCAGTGACCTGAGGAAAGAATCCTTCATGATAAATCTTGCACATAACATGGAAGATTGAAGAGAAAAGCAAATAATAAAGACTGTAGCTAGCAGTTTGTTTTGCTTTATGAATAAAATGGCGATGTTTCAGTAAAATAAAATGTGTGTATATTGAGGGGGACGGAAGGATTGGGACTTAAACAGCTAACATGCAAGTGTTTGTTATGACAAATAGTACTTGAACATAGATACATAGTTTGTAATGAAAAGGACCAAGACATTGGAGCACAGCAGTAGGGAGGCTCTTATGTCATTCAAACAGCTATTGAAATACAATCCTGGTCAGCACTGCAAGGATTAGCTGGAATGGTTGAGTAGAGGTACAACTTTTCATTTAGAGGATTAAAAAAAAAGTTATGGTCAAGATAGTCATCCTGGGTCTTTAGCTTCTTATGTCCCATTTCAGAGCTGTGTTTACAGTGCATAAAGTAACTTGTGTAGAAACTGGTTTTATTGTTAAAATAACATGAAGCATAAAGAGTATGCTGGTAAATGACATCTGGACTTCTCTGGCATACGAAGTAAATACAAGGCTTTCACACATCCCCTTCAAAGAATCTTTCAAATGTACCAGACGCATTTTCTGTCTGACTACCCTGATAACTGGATGTTAAATTTTTGTATTTTGAAATGAGGAAAGAAGGTGGCTGGGAATGAAGAGGAGCAATAGACTTTTCTGTGGATGAGCAATGAAGAGGTTCTTAAGAGTTATGAATTGGTTATTATGGAACTGAGGAGTGGCCAGGAACATACACAGGAACTGGGCAAGTGAAATACATTTTGTGCATATGGCAAGCTTCCTGACGATGGAAGCTGTATGCACCAGTTTGCTTGGACAGTCTAGATTTTCATTGCTCACACACCACAGCCAGTTTCATCACTTAAAGTAACACCACTGGTAACCAACGCTGTACAGAACCAAGCAATAAATAAGCTATGTTCCAAGTCAGCTTAGTGGATGAGTGGGCTGATAAACATGTATGTCAGAATCTGGTGGCTCACAGGAAGACAGTGTGTAAAAGCAGCACTTCCCCCTTTTCTTTGCTCTACAGTAATTCCCAATCTAGTAACCTGTCAAACTAATTTGTAACCAAAATCTATAGTGATGCATTAGACAGGTTAGAATTCTGTTTGAATCTTGAACTGTTTCCTTTGGGGACTGTTACTTTTGACAAGACCTTTTAACTTTGAAGTGTTGCTGACTTTTCCTGATAATTGAATATGTGTAGAAAAATGGAGCTCTTGTGAGGCAATTAATGTTAGCTAGACCTGGGCTACTTGCTTTATTTAACTCTTTGACCATTGGGATATTCAAAGCATGTGTCCCCAATTAATTGAAAGTGTCTTCAGCTATGATGTCTGTAGGAAATTTTTGAAAGTTTCTTTTGGATACAGTGCCCTTACCAACTGAGGCCCTCTGTAGGGCTTTGGTCAACTTGCATAGCTCTTCAAACACTGAGGAATGCTTGGTTTCATCTCTTAAGACAACCTCTGTAACATCTGCTAAATAGCCATGAGTCTCTTCATAGCCTTTCATAAAGGTTAAGAGTTCTGTCCACATCCAGGTCACCTTTTCAGCTTTGTAGCAAAAACATAACTTTGCCCATACTTGAAGTGTAATTGCTATTTCTGTTCAATGAGGTCAAGTTCTTTCCATTTGTCTGCAAGAAGGACCCCTGCTTGCTGATGTTTCTACCTAGTGGACCAGTAAAACTTCACTGACCCAGACGGGAATTAAAAGGCCAGCATTTGCTATAGCAAATTACTTACACATTTCCCCAGTTGAGGGCCAGAGCAGCAGCAGTCACCTTCCTTCCTCAGCCTTCACATAGATAATCTGAGGAGTGGAGCTAAGCTGCAGGACACTGAATGTCTCTGTCATCAGCAGAAATCCAGAAGTATCCCTTAGATGGCCAAGTGCGCAAACAGATCTCTAAGTTCTTGATCCTGGACATAAGCAGGAGCAAATTATATAAGTATAACAGGCTGTAACCCAACCCTTTATATGATAGCTTGCTATTTCCTTGAGTGTCCAAAACATGTGAGCTCTTGAAGCACACATACTGAGTTACTGTACCTGGTGTTGTTTCCCACTTGTCCTTGAGGTATCCTGCTTTCAGCTTTGGACTGGATGGGGTAAGTGGAACACTGGAGTTTTACTCAGACAATACTCATACTAAAAATGTCTGAGACTTGAGTGCTCTACTGTGTAATGCTAAGTAAATTATTTTGAGGAATTGTTCTGTAGACACATCTCTGCTGTCACTTATGCATCTTTTCCATGTCCAGTCATTTTCTCTGTGCCCTGCAGGGCAAAAGGGGGCTCTATGCTAATACAGAAGTGCTGAGATGACAGCATTAAGGGCAAAGCTCTCATACCTTTTCTGGTAAATCGGCACAACTTGGGTGCCTCTGAAGTGCCTGAATACTAACACACAAAGCAGGGGAATCAAAGGAGGAGTTAGGAGTTTGCATGCAGGTTGCAGGTCTACAGTCTCACTGGGATCAGATGTGGTGAAATAGCTCACAGAACTGGGGTGCTGCCATGGCTAGGTTTGGGCTCTAAGAGGGACAGGCTGGGATGGCCAATAGGGAGAGCTGACCTTTATGTGAGAGCAGTGGGAATGCGTGGAGTTTTGGCTTGGGTTAGGATTAGAGGGCAGATCAGCATGGGTGATATTGTCTGCTACAGGCTGCATGATTAAGAGGAAGTAGCAGATGATCCCTTAAGACACCTGTAAGTAACTTCATGTTCACAGTCCCTGGTCCTTGTAGGAGGCTCGAGCCACCCAGGTATCTGCTGGAAAAGCAACACAGTTAAGCACAAGCAATCCAGGAGGCTTCTGGAGTCCACTGACAGCTTCCTGACACAGGCAATTGAGGAGCTGAAATAGGGAGATGCTGCCTTGGACCTGGTGCTGGAAACAAGGAAGAAGTGATCAAGGGCAGTCTTGTCTGCAGTGAGCATGAGATAGTGAAAGTTCAGGATCCTAAGAGGAGAGAACAGGGCAACAAATAGTAGGATTACAACCCTGGACTCAGGAGAGCAGATTTTGGCCTGTTCAGGGACGTGCTTGGAAGAGTTCTAGCATGTAGAAACCAATTCTGTGCTGGCAAAGGTGTGATTTTTTTTTCTTTACTCTAATTTCTTTCACTGGATGAAGCGATACTGAACTCTTCCTGAGTCTTACATAAATATTGTTAGTTTTTAGTTAATCCTTTAATATAAGTAATAACTTCCAACTTATTTTCTGTTATCTTTGTGTAAGACTACTTTTGCTTTGTTTAATATTTGTGTAGTTTCTTTGTGTAGTACTACTTATATTAAAGAATCTTAAACTTGAATGTTAGCAATTCTAGCTATGTAAAAATGGAAATGGTGTTCAGCTGCTAGAGTTAATGAGATTACCATTCATCTTAGCATGGCAAATGTGGTTCTTAATTTTTATTAGGAAGGGTTAATACCATGAAGTGCTTTATTTTATCTCTGTTTTGGAATATGTTTCATTTTTTCATGTCTGTTTTTTGAAAAGGTGGAAAACTTTCAGTGGACCTTTACAAGGTTTTGCCTTACGTAGGAGAGAAGAAAGGACTGCTAGGAAAAGAGGGGCTGGTTTTATGACTTTAAGATACACCCCAGTGCCTTGAGCTTTAGAGTTGAATCTAGATATGTCAGAAGGCTTGAAATTACAGAAGTGTTCGTGGAGAACAAGAATGATATCAGACCTGGAAAAAAGCGTAGATGTTATCAAAGGAAACCCACAGGTCTAGCTGTTGTTGCATGTTGTGTTTTAAATTCCTACTATTTTAAAATCAAAATCAATAAAGGTAAGGAAGAAAAAATTTTGAAATGGCAAGATTCTGATTGTTCTGTGCATTTTGTATGCCCCCGTACAATGCTGTTCTTTTGAATGAAGCACTCTCTACGACTGAGCAGTGTAAGCTGTAATGGTGACAGCCAGCTGGAATAACTCCTGGAGCTGGACCACAGCTAAATGTACACTGAATAATTGAAATTTCATGTCTTCTGTTCTTATCCTATTGTTTCTATCAACACATTGTCCTCTTACTTTTGTTCCACTTTAGTTCCTGATTCCTGTGCCTAATCATACTCCTTTTGTATCAGTTTCTTCTAAGGCAGTAGTGGTCTCCATGCTTGCATGTGTTTGCATGAAATGAAGTTAAGTGTTCATACAAACTGCTGCTTTTTTGGATAGACACTTGGTTGTTTTTCTTGAATATTGAGAGTGAAAGCTGAATTGACTTAATATTGATAAACTTTGTCAATTAAGTTGTCAGAGAAATAGTTAGTTTTAAGTACAGTAGGTATGAGATCCTTTGAAGTGAGTTAGTCTAGGAAGAAATCAATGTAGTACAAAGGATTTCCATTGGACTCTGCTAAAATTATTCACTGATTATTCAAAAGTAAGTGTGGTACATAAAGAGTTCATGTAGTCTCTGAAAGGGTCAGTTTTGTGAAGATTTGAGACATATAAACAGGAATATTTGGATTTTCAATAGTTCACTTCAGCATAATTTGTCTTCCTCCACTCTGGTTCTCTGAGTATATTGGATACTATCATCTGGTTTTTAGACCAGAAGTAAACTGTATTCGGTATCGTTATGCAGGCCTAACACTTCTGTGGTGTCTTCATCACCAAAGTTGAGTTTCAAATTCATTTTATGCACAGTTAAAAGGTTTAATTTCAGAGATGAAGTTTTTTATTTTTCACGAGTCTTCAAAAAGAACACAAGCCATTAACTTTTTCTAAATGAAAGCACATTTCTAAATGTTCATGTTGTATCACTTATAGCTTACTCTGTTTTTGAACAGTATATGCAATCTTAATCCTTTTGAATATTGTAAGAAGTTAGTCAAAGCCTTTTTTATAAAATTAATAGTTTATTGGGAGATGTGTTTGTTTCGGGGACTATCATTGTGTATGGAAGAACATTGCTGGTAGTGTACTAATTTTCTGTATTTATAATGCAGAGTAATAAGACAATTGATGGTCAGCCGAGGAATGTGACAACATTTGTATCTAAAGACTGTGATGCAGATGCACCTGAAGGTAAAATAAATTAATTTCTTGTATTTCCTATGTTATATGTGCATGCTTAGCTGTAATAAGCATCTCAGTCTCTTCATGGCTTTGATTTGCTTTGGTCTAATATGAAGCTTTGATGTATAGCTATGTCCAGAAAACAGCTTGCTTACAGCTTATTTAATAAATTTGAAGAAATGACTATTTTTAGTAGAAACCATGTGTAACAATGCATTCCAGTTAAAGCAAATGGAAGATTTTAAAGTTAACATGTATGTAGAAAACCTTAAAAATAAACCCTAGCTGGTGAATACTTTAGCATCTGAAGTGTCACTTCAGTGTATATGTTTATCATACAAACATGCAGAGAAGTATTCTATTAAATTTCACAATGTACTCAGGAAAGCAAAGATCTGAATTCTCAGTGCGACTTTACAGGTAAGAATTCTGCAATTTTTATTAAGATGTAAATATGGGCTGTTCCGTGAGCAGTAGAACTTGACATCTTAGGCTATTTTCCTGTAATCCTCTTAATTTATCATTCCCTGTAACATCCAGTATAACTCTTGCTCATCTGTGTTATTAACCATCCCTTTTTGACCAGTTATTTGGGCAGAAGATGTATTGTGGGTATTCTGGAGCTGTAAGTAGTGACTAGCAAGCAGATGGATAATTGTGGAGCTTTCCTTGACTTTCCATCTATGCAGGCATTAATGTTGAACTGTTCTGAGAGAATGGTAAGGTTTCATTTAATCTTTATTCCTCTATGAAACTTAGCTAAAACTGGGAATGGGTTTTAGCCTGGTTTCACTAAAAAAAACTAAGCTAATTGTAAAAAAAAAAAAAAAAAACAAATCCAGCATGCTTTCAATGTTGCCTTTCCCCTTCCTTTCCCTCTGCAAATAAGCAATTCTTGCAGTTTGAATTGCACTAGCCATTGCAGTACTGATACTGCTGTTTAAAGTCACCATCAATTTTATCGATTGCTTTGGTCTCTTGTTTAAAAAATTTATCTCAGCAAAAGATTTATGGTCTTCAGAATGGCCTAGATTTTTTTAGGCTAAAGCTCTCGATTGTTCTCACTCTGGCAAACTTTCAGCCTCTCTCTATAAAGAGGAGTTGAATTATGTATGCATTTATATACATATAAAAAGGCTTGACAGTGTTTGTTAATTGATAGAAAAGATAAATAGCTGTCCTGTATTCTCACCTTATTATCAGTGTTCTGCAACTACTGAATTCTGAGTGTGCTTCTAGAAGACCTTAGCAGCTCCTCAGGGTTTTTCCTACTTGTGTTATTGGGAAAGATAATATTTTAATTTTAAACAATTTTTGTACTAGTGGAGATAACTGGACTATTAGTTCTTTGTTCCCAATCTATCAGGCTGTGGTCTCTTGCAAGGTGGTTCCCCTGTGTTTAAACTCCTCTTCAAATTTAGCATGTAGGTGTTGGTCTTGTTTCTGGTGGCTCATTCATTTCCCAAGGGGAATGGATTTTTCTCCTGTCTCCCCCATAGTTCAGATAAATCATTCATCCACCTTTATTTTTGGCTATTTTTAGACTTAATGCAGTTTTAAGTGTGTTGATATTTTGACAAATATAATTGTTCAATTCATTCTAAGCTGTGATATTTTTGTGATGAAAAATAGAAACTTTTCTGTGGCAGAGTTTAGAAGAGCAAAATCTGTCATTTTTCAAAATGAGATCACTTTGAGCAGGTTGTACAGACCTTTTTCTTGTAGACAGGTTCTTGGCTTGGCTAGTATTTGCTGGGAGAAGAATATACTCACTGGCATTGATAAGCTAATTAGTCTTGACTTTTCTGGAAGAAATTCAAGTAGTCTGATTTCCTCGGATTTTGTTGCTTAGTCGTAGGAACTGGGGTTGGACTGAAATAAACTTCCTATACTCCACCTATGCTTGATATTTTTTGCATAATTTGAATACTTTGCGTGATTTTTTTCCTAATTTGCTTTGATCAATGGAAACAATATAGCTGTTCTGATGTGCTGAACACAAGAATTGGCCTGTGTAAATGATGGCTTTGGTTTGCCATCATTAACTTGTTCACTGGGTATCTTTGAGTCATGTTCTCCTTTCTTAATAGGAAAGAGATGGAGAAGGTATTGATATGCTGTCCTATGCTAGCCTAGTGTAAGTAGAAGATGGATGGATATTTCTTAAATATTAAGGTTAATGTGATCAAAAGGCTATAGTGGAGTTCGATTAACTACAAGTACAGTCAGGCCATTAAAGTGTTTTTATAAATGAAAGAAAAGTTTCTTTTGTAATGCTCAACTTTAAAAAAGAAAAAGTTGCATTAGTGAAAACACTTTATTCACTGTTTCATCCAGTCAATTTTAGGAAGTGGAAATGTAATGCTTGCCTTTGAATACCTGCCATTTTTAGTACCTGATAATGAAAACTAATGAAAATAACTGTTGTAGGGGCTACTCTGTGGTCAGATAGCATATGTTGACAGGTGAAAATTATTTTGAAGGTAGGAACTAGATTTTTAAATACAACTTCTCTAGTTTTTAAGTATACTAGACACAGAGCAAAAATAGATGCAATGAACTTCAAGTTAAGGTAAAGATTGGGAAAGCACTTGTAGTTTTTATTGATTTCTCTGGTACTAGGGTTTTATCTTATGTAAACCACTGAACTGGAACTAAATGCAAATATTGATTTTTCTTCTTGGCACTTACATTATTTTGTTTAATTTAATTGAATTAATTTTAACAGTATTTTTCCTTAGCCATAAAACAAATGATGACCTTTTCATGGCTGTGCTGATAGATAAGCTTATAGCAATCTGCTCTGTTTTATTGAATACTCAGATGTTGTGGGTATGATCTCTACTTACTGTAACTAAGTACACTTTTTCTGAGATGGTGGAAGAGACGTGATCTGATCTTGTAGCAACTACTACTCTCAAATACTTCAATGTTGTTAAAACTTCAGGCTTTAATGGGCAGTGCGTTCTATATGTTTCAAACCAGTGTTTAGCTTGATGAAAAGGACAATTACACTTTCTGAAGAAACATAAAATACAATCTTATAAAAACCACACTCTTAAGTATTTACAGTTTAATATATAATTCGTGGGGTTTTAGCATTATATTGTCTGCTTTCTTGTCTCTGTTTACTCCTGGTATGCAGGAGGTGTAATCTGCTTCATACTGAATGCCAGAGGCCATGATAGCATAACTAAATGAAACAGAACAGAAGCCAAAAAGTAATAGAGCAGGCTACATCTTATAACTGAAAGTACCTTTTCTTAGTTACACTTAAACATCTTGCAACAAAGGCTTGTGTTCTGGTTAACATAGACTTTTTGAAAGCTTTTTAATTAGTCTTTCGGAGCAGCAGTAAACTTAATATATTTGTTACAGGCAAAACAAGCATTAGTTTTCAGTGTTTAATACAGTTGGGCAAAGACCTCATTTGATCATTGTTTTCAAGGACTGATGCCAGTGGAACTGTTGGGTCCACAGTTCAGCTGAGCATAAGGTCAAGTGAAGGAGTTCAATTATGTGATTAAGACTCTTGCAGCTGGACCAATGCATTGAAAACTTGGTATAGGTTTAGCTAAATAGATTAATGAGATTTAGTGTAATTGAGCAATGACTCAGCTGCAATCCTGTATACAAGACTTTTCCCAACCTTAATTATGAGATCTGATGAACACTATCTGCCTCTTTCTAGACCAGAAAACCATGAAAGTTGTCTTTTAAACATCACTCACTTTAAATGGAGAACATGCTATGAATCCTCCTTGGCTTGGATTCTCTCATTTCCTTAACTGGAGAATTAAGCCTCACCTGAGGCCTGCTAAATGCTGGGTAGAGTCTGTCTGCTGGGCCTCTTTTGCATAGACCTGCACTGACTCCAACTGCATGTAAAGTGGGAAAGAAAAAAGGTTATCTCCATTTCTAAGGCTTTGAACTGAGCAGGACTTACTGTGCTAATTAGATCTGTGCCTTCTTATCGGACTCTCTTGTCAGCTGGAAATCAACAAGTGCAACACTTCAGGCTTTATCGTAGCCTGAATAAAGACCAGATAGAGTCATGACTCAAGCTCGAAAGGAACCCCGAGTATGAATGGCAAAGCAGGAGCATATTCTTTGTTTCTCCTTCAGAGAAATCCAGGAGACATACAAAGTGAAAGCACAAGCAAGTTGCTCAGAACCTTCAATATTAGTAATTTTGTATTAAGTATTTTATGACCATAGATTACCACTACATAGAATCATAGAATAGTTTGGGTTGGAAGGGACCTCTAAAGGTCATCTAGTCCAACCCCCTTGCCATGGGCAGGGACATCTTCAACCACATCAGGTTGCTCAGAGCCCTGTCCAACCTGACCGTGAAGGTTTCCAGGGATGGGGCGTCTGCCACCTCTCTGGGCAACCTGTTCCAGTACTTCACCACCCTCAGCATAAAAAAATTTCTTCCTTCTATCTAGTCTCAATCTATCTGCCTTTAGTTTAAAGCCATTCCCCCTTCTCCTGTCACAACAGGCCCTGCTAAAAAGGTTGCCGCCATCTTTTTTATAAGCCCCCTTTAAGTCCTGATAGGCTGCAATAAGGTCTCCCCGAAGCCTTCTCTTCTCCAGGCTGAACAACCCCAACTCTCTCAGCCTTTCTTCACAGGAGAGGTGTTCCAGCCCCCTGACCATTTTCGTGGCCCTCTTCTGGACCTGCTCCAACAGGTCCGTGTCTGTCTTATGCTGAGG